CCTGCCAGCACTGCTGGGGCCTGTCTCCATGGAAACCCTAGCCCCACCCTCACAGCCCCAGACTGCTGAGGTCTCCATGGAAACTGGCTGCAGCGACACAGGCAAGGGCTGCTGGGAAATGGAGTCCGTCGCAGTCCAATCCAGCCTGTTGGCCAGACTTTGCCTGCCCCTTCTGTCCATGGGGACAGTAACGGTTGACCTTTGCAACCCAGTCCAGCATTTTAAACCCAAGTGAATCACTTACGTTTTTACACGTCTGCTAATAAAACTACGAAGCAAAAAACAAAACAGCAGGTCGCCATTGCTCTTCTAGGCTCCAACCGTGCAGTAGCTGCTGCTTTTCAGCCACTGCATTTGGGATTTTATTCTCCTTTTCTAAACTGGCGGTCCATGATGCGCCACAGCACTAATTTCACAGGGGAGAACAGGCCATTGCTCTGCTGCTTAACAGTGTCCAGCTCCTTACAAATGTCATACTCTGATATTTCATAGGGTAGGAATCGTTCCTGGGTCTCATGGGGCACGTCGGGCTCTGTGACCCAGGCCAAAAACCCACAGCCCGCCCCCGCCGCCGCGCTCTCGCCCACCTCCACCTCCCGGCCCGTCCCAAGTTCTCAACTAGAGCCCCGCCCCGCCCCCTCATTGGATAGCCCTCCGCCGTGTTCTGGAATGTTGACAGCGCCGCAGCCTGCTGGTTGGCTGGCAAGCCAGCCACTCAAAAGTAGAGGCGGGGCCAGTGGTATAAATGAGGACGCAGCGGTGGGGGAAGGGGGAACGGGGCAGCTTGCCCCCGTCGGGGCGCCAAGTGTGACCCGGTGCGTGCTAGGGGTCGCTACGCTCCTACCTGCATGTCTGCGCGCTCAGCAGGCCGCGTGCACTTGGCGGGGGGCGAAGTGCTCTCCGGCGGCCGTTAGGCAGTAAACAAGCGCGAGCTGCCTCTGTCCGCCCCGCGATTGGCGGCGGGGATTCGAACGTGAGAGGGCAAAGGGCACGCCAGGAGGCGTCCCTGGCGGAGATTGGCCTGCCGGGCCACGCGCCAGGCCCGGGCCCGCGCGCCGATTGGCTGAAGTCGAGGAAGATGCGCGATGTGCTCCTCCATGTCCTGATTGGCCCGTCCGGCTACGCGCCGGACAGGCTCCCGGCAGACGATTGGCTGCAAGGGAAGCGGGTGCGTGAGACGACCCCCGTGATTGGCTGACAGGCTACAGCTTTAGGCCGGCATGCGCGGGGAGGGGACCACTGAAGCGACGAGGAAGTGAATGGCGCGTTGCGCATGCCCACTGGGCGCTCGGCCTACTCCCTGAGGTAAGAACGGCCCGCGGGGGCTGTTAAACCGTCGCCGCGCGGGGGCCCCTGGGAGCGCCCCGGCGGTGACCTCCCCGGAGGCTCATCCCGCCCCGGTCTCCCTTCGCGCTGAAGCGACGCCTCGGAGCACCCACCTGTTGCGTCCGCCCTGAGAGGCTGAATTTGGATGACCGATCAGCAAAGTGGACACCTGTTGCAAAATTTTGCGGCCCCCTAAAGTGTGGGGGGCCTTAGGTCATAAAAACTAAGCCTTTTATCAGCAAGTCGGACACTCGTTGCGAAATGTGGGGGCGGGCCCTAAAGTGCGGGGGGGGGCACTTAGGGGTTAACTTTCATGACCCATCAGCAAGTCAGACACTTGTTGCAAAATTTAGGGGCCCCCTAAAGTGTGGGGCCTAGGTTTGCCCCCCTCTAAGGCCGGCACTGCTGTGCGGTTTGCAACAAAATGCTTCACTCCCATCATTTAGTTGCTAGTGCCACCAAGTGGCCGGTAACAACAGTAAGGTTTAGGGGTGGGGGCTATCTTTTTCATTCCCTTAATACTTCTCTCTTACAAGGAGGTACAGATATTAGAGAGCTAACACACTTTTAAAAGCAGTGTGGAGCAGGTGGCTTGCATATGAAAGCCCTTTATTCTTGGGTTTAAACCTGTAGACTGTGCCATCAAATTGTTTTTTTTTGTTCAGAAGAATAAATGGTATTGAAGTCACCTGCACGGTGACTTCCTTCCCACGCTTGCCGGTCTAAACGTATCAAAGCCCTGACCTGGACGGGGAGGTTGAGTTGTATTTTCATCCTTAAAGCCCATTTGCTCCACGATTGGTTTGTTTTAAACTCTGAAAGAACCAGTTTTGATGTAGGTCTAGGGCTGGGAAGGGGAAAGTTACTTGGGAGTGGAGTCCCATCAGTCGGATGAGTACTAAACACCACAGCAACAAGATTAGTCTGGAATAAAATTGACAAATCTGGGAAACGCCTTTAGTAGAGCCAACAAAGACTGTAACAGCAAAGACCTCTAACTAATATGGTGCTTCAGTATACTTAAAAAATTGGAGATGGGACCAAACAAGTTTTAAGTTTAAAAAAAAAAAAAAAATTTGTTTTCTGTTCGTAAACTTGAGCTAAGTGGTGACATTGTAAAATACTCTGTTTAGTGGTCACAATGTCATTTCTATTTGGTTTTTATAGAGATATTAATCATTAATGCAGTATTATTGCTGTTCCCAAACCACCCCAAGGTGTTTTGTGTAAAATTGTACAGGGTATAGGTAGAAAGTTATTAGCATCCAGCATCAAAATGCTTCCGTCTGGGGGACTGAACATGTCTTTAGCACCACATGACACAGCAGTGTAAAATAGAAAATGAAGATGAACTTTTGCAAGTGAAATTCATAGAGGTAGAATGCATTTTGCTCCTTCTTGAAACTTGAGTAATGTGATTATGATTGCCCAAAAAGTTCTGCATAGTATTAAAAGTTCTGGCTGGTAATGACCCTTGTGTTTTATTTGAAAAATAACAGGGCATTGTTCTAGTATAGTCAGTATAATGCATCATCAGCCAAACTGCTAACTTCAGTCGCTTTCTGTACCACCTACATGGTGCTTGGAGGTCTCTCAGCCAGGTATGTTATTATCTAGCAAAGAGTCATTTTCTGCCTGACAAGCCTAGGCCGGTTTTCATTGCCGTTATGTCACTAACTTGAAACATTGAAACTTAGCTAATTTTATTGTAGTCTGCAGAGAAATTAAATTGAGTTCTCATTAGCTGGGTCACCTTAGTTATCAACACTTTCTGCCAGGAGCCGGTGTATATCTGCAAAGAAACACACATACGCCCAGGGTTCTTGTGCAAGAAAAGCTGGGGATGTTCGTTGTAATCTTGAGTACACCGTTTCTGTTCAACTCCTGACGAAGTGCTCAAGTTTTGGTTTGATTGGGCCTTCTCCTGAAATCATCTGGTCCATGGGACAGATTCATTCCACAGTCTGTGCTAGTATGGTGGGGAGTTGCAGTCTTGCTCTGTTGTGGAGCCAGCATTACTGAAGTAGTAGGGGAGAGTCAGCTGGGGATGTGCTAGTCTACTGCATTTCCCAGGAATCCTCCAGCAGGAGGGCTTCTACTGGTATTGCTATGACTTAGACCTGCCTTCCTTGACCCAACAGAGTCTTTGTACCAGGACTTGTCCTCCCTCTGGACCGCAAAGGTATTCTGTGAAGGTGGAATTATGCCTCCCACTGCCAGAAAAAGCAAATGTGGACTCAATGGGAGGCTTACAAATCTGATTGTAGGTGTGTACTTAACCTCCTCTTCTCATTAAGTCTCTGTCACCTTAGGTAAGGAAGTATTCTGGCCCCAAATATTTTAGCAGAGCTAGAATTTAACCCATAACATGTTGCCTTTCATGCAACTGGTACTTTGGACCACTTTAAAAAGTAGAGTCCTGAAAAGCTACAAGGACGATGCAAGTAGTTTGCATTCCACCTGAACCAAGGAATGCCCCCAAATTTACATCTTTTGTGCAAGCAGCTTTTAGTCTCCTCTCAACTTGTTGCCATTATACAGATCCCTTTTAGGAGTAGCAGGTTAACTTTTGGCTAGTTTAAGAAAGAATGTTGCAGCCTCACATCAGTTTGTTTGAATTCTTACTATTCCAGAGTCTCACTTTTTTGTTGCAAATTGCAACATCCTACAGGATACTTTAGATTAACATGAAGTGCCTGTGTATTATCTACAATAGCTGCAGATGTATTATAATGTTAAAACAAGATTTGTATCTTTCTTTTTTTTCTATTTCAGGTTCTATTGAAGGGGAACTCTTGTCTCCAATTCTTTATGAACAATTTAGGCTTATTTTACTCTATGACCTGGCTGCTTAAAATAGGTGTGGTATCTTGGAGGCCATGGACTTTGAGGAAGCAACTGTTTTTATCCCCCAGGCAGTCTGTGCCTCTCTTCCAAGTAGCAGGGAAGAAGACTTCTCGTGATCTTCTTGCACTAAGTGAGACAGAATTAGAAGAACAGTTTGTAAGAGGTAGTGGCCCTGGAGGCCAAGCAACTAATAAAACAAACAACTGTGTTGTCTTGAAGCACATTCCATCTGGGATTGTAGTCAAGGTAATTATGTGGTAGTGCTTTGCGTGGTAAAGAAGCTTGGCAATAGCCTGCTGGCAAAGCTGTGAACTAGTGGTTTAAGCCAATATAAAATCCTAAAGTTCTAACTTTTCTGTCTTGATATTTACAGTTGATGTATGTTGCTTTATTTTTCCCAGCACTTTTAAGGCCACCTTTATTAAAATTAGATTACAGAATCATAGAAAGCTAGGGATAGAAAGCAGCTCAGGATGCCTTGAAGAAAGAAGGCAGGGGGTCAGACTTACAAGATCCTTAAATATTAAACACTGCAAAAACCTGAGCATTATGTTATCTAGCTGCCAGTAAATGTGGGGGAGGGAGTGTGTGTGTGTGTTGCTTCTTTGTGGTTTTTTACTGCTGTAGCAGAGAGGCTAGTTCTTTGAAACATTATTTTGATTACTAGTTCAAATGAAATAATACGTGAGGAATGATTTTGAAGCTCATTATCATGTTAAAGAGAGAGACGTCATAACCCTTCAGAAACTGTTATGACAGGTGTTTTCTTGTTTGCTTGTCCACTTACATTAATAACTCTGAAACTTCAAATATTAGTTTCCCAGGCTCGGGGGAAGGAAGAGAGGAGTTAATGCAGTAATTCCCATGAGTTGAGGGCTGTAAAATCAGACCCTATGTTAGTACAGCATACATAATAAAAGGAAAAAAGTGTTTCTAAGTGAAATTACATTCGGAATAAAAAATATCCAACTGTATTTTTCAGTGTCATCAAACTAGATCAGTGGAGCTGAACCGAAAGAGAGCTAGAGAGATACTGCAAGAAAAAGTTGACCTATTTTACAAAGGTGAAGATAGCGATGTTTTCAAAGAGAAGATGGAAGCAGGGAACAAAAAGCAAGAGAAGAAAAGAAAAGCAAAGGAAAACCTGGAAAGGAAAAAACAATTTAAAGAAATGCAAGAACTGGAGAACAAGGAACTGTGAATGAAGTGATATGGCTACTTAGAGGAAGGACTGACTTTACCAGTTCCCCTGAAAACAGCAAATGTGTTAATTTTTCCATCATTTTGACACCATAGGACTTCGCAAACACCACTGAAAATATTGAGTAATGAATGAGTGTCCGTTAGCATAAAACAAGGCATTTAACCACTGGCTAACAACAATCACTTCTCAGCCTCAATCCACTGCCTCATTCCCCACATTCAACAGTTAACCAACTATTCATGCTGAGTTTAAGGCAGTTTTGGTAAAAGAAGCAACACAATCACTTAGGCCTTGTTGCTGTGCATCTTACTGATTTTTTTTTTTTTTTTGTCTTCTATATAGTCCATGGAGATAGAATAAGAAAAAACACAATAGGCTAAGAATAGTCTTTTCAGAGTGTGAGGATTTAGGCATATAATCATCTCTTTTAGTCCGATGCTTAAGTTTCCTCTACATAAAGATGCGGGCATCACTAAAACATAGGACAACCCATAATCATTGTACAGGCAGTATTCCTACTGAAGTCAGAATTGCCTTCATAAACTACAAGATATCGAATAAACCAGCAATAGAATAATACCTTGTTCTTACACAAAGAAGTGGAGGATACTGTAGACTGAAAAATCAACTGTGGAGAGAAAAAGGGCTTAATCTTAAATATTCTTAAGCAACACAGTCCCTTTCCCCACCTGTAAGTTTATCAGGGGTGCTCACCAGGATCTGGTAGAACATCTGCTCACCAGAGCACCCCAAGGGAAGACAAGGTCAAACAGTCACAAACTCCTCTGTGACTGTTTCAGGCTGGACATAAGGAAGAATTTCTTTACTGTCTGAGCCCCCAAGGTCTGGAATAGATTGCTGCCAGAGGTGGTTCAGGCACCTACCTTGAACGCCTTCAAGAGAAATTTGGATGTTTATCTTGCTGGGATCCTATGACCCCAGCTGACTTCCTGCCCCTGGGGTAGGGGGCTGGACTCTGATCTTCTGAGGTCCCTTCTAGCCCAAATGTCTGTGAAATCTATGAAATTGTGTTTAGTCTTAGTACTGACCAGTGTCGCCTCCTTTCTTTGGGTTTCCATTGTATACTAAACATCTACCTTCAGTAATAAATAATTCACAGCTTCATTTATCGTGCAGAGTTTTGATATAGCAAAACAGAACATTATATTACGTGTATGAACTTTTACCTCAAAGGGTCCTCGGTCTTGTTTGAAATATGTCTCTAGTGTTATTTGATTGGGAGTAGTTATAGTGTGTTGTCGCATAAATGCTGATTTGAATCCAGAGATGTTTGACTGATCTTCCTCTTAAAGAAGAAAAATTTAGTCGTGTCTGGAACTTTTATCGTCTCTCATGCATGTACCATGGATTGCTACAACAAGCTATGCTCCAGCAGTGAAAGGGTAGGGAGAGGGCTTCCAAAAGGACATTTGTGGCACTTAAGAAGATTTGTGGGTGCAGTGGGTTAGTTGTTCTTTAGGAAGAGGAATGGAGACAGCAAACAGCCTTACCTCCTTCCTGCAGGGACTGCCTGCCTGCATCCAACTATGCCATGGACGGAGCATCTCTAGCTGCGTTCAGTCGTGTTCTCTAGTCTGTTCCCAGATTTGAGCCTCACACATGAAAGTTAAACCTTTACCTATCTAACCAGGTTCTTTCGTACATTTAACATGAGGTGGATTAAAGGCACTCTACATGGTTTTAATACAAATTGTTAATGAAAATAAGTTTTATTACATCAAGTAATAAATACATACAAAGATGCAAATAACAGTTTTAGTCATTTATCCAGAATTTTTTTTTTTCTTCTTTTCTTTTTTTAGGCAAACTTGCAACTGAAATCTTCAGCCTTAGTGTGAAAATTAGTTTTCTGGGACCTTGTTATTGTTTAATAGGTTGCCCTACCTCCTGTATAACTCATGCACTTTAAATGGACTCCAAAGTACTAACAATCATGCAAATGCTTATGCAAAAAAAGGGTTATTTCTAAGCGGGAATCTATGCTGTATGACACTGTGTGATATAGCAGACTACTAGGTAAAACGTGCTATCTCTGCATTTATTTAAAAAAATCCTTGGAGATTATGTCAAAGGATGGAAGCTTGACAATTTGGGGTTACGTGAATAGGCAAAAAAAAAAAAGAATGAGACTGCGGCTGAATAGGAAGGGAAGTGAAGTATAGCCTGAGGGATAGAAAGCATTCCTTTGCATGCAGTTCAGCCTCAACAATCTTTAGAAATAATTTGGGGAGTTTAACATCTTTAAAAAATGCAAACCCTTGTCAGTTGAAAAAAATCCTTGTTTTTCTCATTCTTAACTACATTTTTAAGGGCAAAAAAAGGAACATAAAACATTCAAAATAAAAGGATTTATCTGAATGTTTTGAAAGTCACCAAGGGAATAACTAGTACTCTTCCTTCATAAAGAGGTGGAAAATCTTTTAACTGAATTAGTGGGCTAGGATCTTGCATTCCGTTCAGTCTCAGCCAAGCATTCTCGAACTAATCCTCTAGCATGAATGATGCCTGCAAAAGAATTGTACATTTTTGAGCATCTCATCCAGGTGCCAACTAAGGAAGTGAAAGTTCACAGGAAAAAAAAAACAGCCTTTCCATTCTAAAATAACTTGCAAAGCTTCCACAATGCCCCTTAGGGAAGGCAGCTTCCCCAGCCCCCACAAACCACCACAGCTAAGAAGTTTCTCCCCCAAATTGGCATCTGAAGTTTGAAGGGGGTCCAGACCAAAGTCCTCAGCCCCCTGAAGGTGGCAGCTCCACATTCAGTCAGATTTAAACTTTGTGCCTATCTACATTTAGAAACCTAACCTTTAAAAGTGGGGGTCTTGCACAGTTGTCACTTGACTAGTGATTACATTTTAGTGAGATTATCAAACCCTGAGGTAGTATTTGCTCTGAGAGGATGTGTCTGGAAAATTTAAGCCATAATAGCAGCCCCCTGCAAGGAGTGGTGTCTGGAGAAGGGAAACTTCTGTAGCGATTTCCTCTTTTTATTAACACTGGGGCAGCTCCAGCCAGGAGAGTTTTAGTGTAGACTGCCATCACCGTTTTAAGTACTGGCCTCTACCCTTGCTCAGATCTAGTGGACTTGAATTGAAACATTTCCAGGAGCTTAACTCCCTTGAGTTCTGAAAAATCCCAGCCTTGGTATAATACCAGCAGCCAATCTAGACTCAAGCTCCCAGTGTCATTAAAAGCAGTGAAGTCTGAGCTTGTGTTGGGAACAAGAGATATTTTATAGCCAGATTTACCCACAGCAGAGAAGGGTACTTTTTGGCAGTACAGCAAGAGAGATTAGGCTGATTTCTCAGCTCACTCCTGCTGTTCCTTAACAGGAGGGAAACCTTACAGGCAGGGTACTCTGCCTTCACAGAACTGCTAGTCCAGAGACTTTTAGGTCCCAGCTACAGTCCCCAAAGGAAGAATTGTTCATGAAGTCATTACGGTGAAAGGATCTGCAAAAGAGTTACATGTCTACACGCAAATATTTGCGTCCTGTCTAGAAAGGCTGATGCATACTCCAGGCAGCACACTAGGTGTCAAGGTGCCCAGTATACGCAGCACAGGTCCGGTCCCCTGAGTTATGTTGGAAACTGGGATTAGTTGATTTTATATCTTGATAACCTGGGTGGGCTTTGAAACTAGTGAGCAGGAGTCCTATTCTGGAAGAGCCATGTATGTCAGCTGCCTTTCCACTGCTGCAAACCACCCAAGCACGTGCACACTTGTTAATTCCCTCTCCTGGGGGTAGATTTTTGCAGCGTTGGCAAATTAGCAAGTTAATCAGCCACTTGCACAGCCACCTACCAGCATTACAGACAGGACCTAGATCTTCAAACCATGCTGCGCAAACATTTGCTGTGATAGCCGAAAGCACGACTCACTTTCCTCTTACAAGCAGCTGAAGTAAAGGTGATGTTCACGCTAACAGTCTGCATCTTGCCAGACCTCTCCCAAGTTGTCCTATTAGCCTATTGCCACTCTTGATCTATTGACATTGACTCAGCCAATGCAAGAGAGAAGTGACTCCTGCAACATTGATTTTAGTCCAGCCAGATTCCACTTATCACTTTTCAGCAGATTTTATAGCATCCTTTCCCAGAACAGCTACTAGTCATTTTATTGCATGTCACGGCAGATATATTACTCCCCCATTAACGGCTGAGCTTTAAATAAAACCTCTGTAGTCCTGGGCAAGCAGAGAGTGGATTTGCAAGGTGGTGAAGTTATGTCTGCTACAACCACATACTCTCTTCAGCCTGAATGTACGAGCCAAGCTCAATGCGTGGATCGAGGCAGCTGGAGTAGGGGAGGAAAAGGCTTTATGCCTTGCTGCCATAGGGTATGGCAGCCTGGGAAACTACACTCAGCTGCGTACGCCCTCATGGGTCACACTAGCAGTGAGAGTGCCCCCATTCCTTCAGGAACATCCCTCCCATGGGTCCTGCAGAGGGAGATATAGACAGTCTCGTTTCCCCTCCGCTGCCAGGATAGGACATTTGTGACCCCTTTTAGCTGCGTGAAGGAAGCTGTAGAGTTAATTAACAGAGCCCTTAGACCCCAGGAGCCTCTGGCTCCCTCCAATGTAATTATGTTCAATTATCAATGCACATGGGAGTCTAAGCATCACAAACTTGGGGGCAGGAGAGAGTAAGACGCCAGCTGCTGCTGCAGCGTACTGCTGTACTACTCGAGTGCATGTTACCTTTTTCTCTACTGTCCACTTAACATACAAGTCACTGACACAACCTCATTTAGCTAAGGCTTGTTGGGCTGAATACAGTTCTTTGGTGTGACACAGACCCTTTGATTTGTGGTTTGAAGTCTATAGGAGAGACCCTACGTGACTAAGGGCATGTCTACACAGCAAACCTACCACCCCAGGCAACAACAGCATCCTCACAGGCACACACTGCACTGCTCCCCATGACACAACTGCATCTATGTGGTGCTTCAGGCAGGCTAATCAGTGCTGAGTGACAGGGCCGATTAGCCCTTTCCTGCGCTAAGGAACCCACCTGCAGCACTGCACAGATGCAGCTACACTGCTTCAGGGCCAGGAGACAATTCAGGCAGAGCAACGTGCTGTGTTCAAGGGCACCGCTGTTTTGCCTGGTAAGCAGAGACATCCCTAGGGGTGTGCGGGGCATACGGCATATCAGCCCGTGTGGGGCCGGGGGTGGTGAATGACGGGGCGGGGGCGGCAAGTGGCCAGAGCACAGAGCCAGCGGTGCGTGGCAGCCACGGCAGAGCTGGCAGCGTGCAGTGGCTACAGCCAAGCTGGTACACCACTACCCTGTATGGCATTGCCTGCAGGGGCCCCCAGAGCGCAAGACCTGGAGCGGCTGCCCCAATTCACTGCCCCCCAGGGACAGCTGCCCCAATTCACCGCCCCCCAGGGACGGCCCTGCTAGTAAGTTTGCCTTGTAGTTATGCCTGACGTCACCAGAAACCGAGACACATTGAGGGGCTGGGCAGTTATGCTAACTTGGAGCCCTCTCTGTGCCATGCACTGGTTTCTCTTGATAGATGTCAGTGATTCCAACATCTATGTTAACTAACTTAACTAAGTTAAGACATCTCAAATGTCTGCCCTCTGCGGTTGTCAGAAAACAATGTGTAAGCAATATACATGAGAAGACAGATAAGTTTTACATGTCTAGTAAAAATTACCTCGTTTTAGCCTCTCCATGGCACTTTTACTTCCCGCATACGTGGGTCTAATTTCTTTTCCTAATTCTTCTATGATAGCTAGGAGTTCTGCATATTTGCTTTGTGGTACTTGACTGCTGCTGGTACCCTACAGTTTGAAAGAAGTTAATCTGAGTTACACAGTGAAAAACAAACAGCTGGAAAGAACAACTATTTCACAGAGCTTGTCCTGGCCATTTGCACGCCAATTTTAGAAGGCTATGAACATGATGCAGCTGTACCTCCTGCTTTTGTAATCAGATGCTGCGCAGGTGCATTATCTCTTCTCACCCAACTGCAGGACTGGAGCCTTGGGTTGTAAAGCATTTCATTTAGACAGCACTGCAAACAGAGTTAACAAATGCAACCCCCTTGTTACAGCCTCTCCCCCTCCTCTCTCTCTCCACCACACTTTTCACTTTCTGTACTCTAAGTACTAGTACAGGCAGAAAAACATTTACAGAATAAGTTAAACTAGGGGCGAGTTAGTGGGACACAATTACAAGAAAATGGTTTACACATCAAAAGAAAGCGTCCTTCCCCCTGTTAAACATTAGAAGCTGCCCCGAAGTGGGAAGTTAGATCCCTGTAGCAGCCAACAAAGAGGCTTGGCTCATGCAGTGCAGAACACTGGAAATTCTAAATTACCCACAGAAAACAATTAGGAATGCAATACTGCTACTATTCATTATTTGTAACACAGTAAGCATTCAGTTGGTTTCAGCCCTGAACATCAGATCACGAGCTATCCTCATTTTATATCCTCACCTTTGTCTTGGAACACAACTCGCATCACGGTTCACCATGAGTCAGAAAAGCAGAGGCTAGTGGGCAGCTATTAACTAATCCCTGATGAGCATTCTAATTATTCTAGTATGACATGAGGACGCATGTAATGACTCTGTTTGCCATTTGGATTTTATTTCCAAGCCCTGGAGAGGGCACATGGACAACAGCGTACAATTTACTAGCTTGAGCAAGGGCATTGTCACCAGAAAGATTAAAAAAAAAAAAATTAGAATTTTACCTGCATCCCTTGTGTGTAGCCTAGGGACGGTGGTCCGTAGTCATTTATAAGTTGTCTGTATTGTGCAGATGTGGCCATACTTGTGGAGGGAGAGTGAACGCTTCCAGCTTCCAAGAGGAAAAAAAAATTAAATCAAGACTTATTAGCTAAAGATGGATTAGTCAATACACATTAGGACTCAGTTTAGTGGGCTTTTTTCTCCTTTTTTTAAACCGTAACCTGATTCTTCTTCTCCCAGCCCACTAACGTCAATTAAGAGTCACACTATTCATTGGAAACCGTACCAATGATTAGTGTAGCAGTCCTTTCACAGCTACTGTACATTTGAAAACAGTGCAGGCTGTAACATTAGCCACAGCTTTTGCACTCGTTCAGGGGAAGTCCAGTATAGCATTGCAGGTTGCTCTGCAGACTTACTGTAAACACAGAGGAGCTGTATTTTTGCTCATGCCCTACAAATTAAGTCCAACACCAAGCTATTTTCAATTTAACAGCACAGATTACGATCAATTTTTACATCTCAAAGTGTCATCAAGTGGACAAGGCAAAATTACCCTTGCTGCCAGGACCACAACTCAGAACTGGTGGCAATCGGATGAAGTGTCTGGGTCCCTCTGTTCATTGTGTGACATCAGCAGTGAATACTGTTGCTATTTTCTACCCTCTTCTGTGATGTCAGACCCTTCTAACCAGTCAGGTCACACCATGCAAAAAAGAAACCAAAGTAATGTAAAACTACCCGGTTTGGGGGGGTTTTGGTTGTTAAGTTCTAATGTTTCCTAAGATTTCCAGACTTCAGGGGGTGGCGACACTGCTGTAATACAACAGTCTCAATATAAAACACACATTTACTTTTTTCGCTATCAGGCTTTAGTTTCCTAAAGTGTCTACTGGCTGAGGCACTACTTTGGGGGACAATAAATCCCAATGTGGATCTTAACAGAAGCAATTATTGGTTTAATGCTCCTTCTTGTTTGTTTAAAAAATAGTTAATTCCTTACAAAGACAGACTGCATCAAGCATAGCAGCTTTTGGAGGATGACTTGTCCTGAAGAGAGCAAGGTGAGATATTCATACAGCACAGGAACTTCTCCATCAAGCCCACCCTCCTTCAAAAAAAGTGTTTCCCTTAGGATTACATTAATCAATCAATGTGGCTTTTTTAAACTAACCAACAGGCCCTTCCTTAATGAGTTCTGCCAGGGTGATTGATCAAAGATCTGTCCCACCAATGGTAAAATCATTGTGGGTTTTTTAAATTTGTGTCTTTGTTCTTAATGTGCTTGGGAGAGAAATGGGGTGGGGGGGAAATCATTTCCCCCTTTTCCTAAAGGGCCACAAACTGTTCAAAGGGATGCCCGGGATACAAATCCAGCATCAGATCCCCCTGATTTAAAGACCCAGACACCATCCCCTTTACAGTCTACTAATGGCACCCATCCATCTTGTCTCCTTATCTTCCCACTGAAACAGCCTCCTCAATCATCTGTCATCCATCCTTTTCAGGAAAATGCACCATTAAGCACACGCTCGCACACACACACACACCCCTGCCCATGTTCAGAGCCTTGCCTCACTATGACTTCTGGCCCAGCAAGGACTGCAAAAGCAGACTCAAAGAGGCTTTATACCAATAGGTTTTAGCTACTCCTTTGCTTTCCTTTTCCCCTTCAAATGCTCCTGGCTCCTACTGTTGCTTTCCTCCTGTCCTTTTCCTCCAGGGGCCACTCAGACCCAACACTGCTTTTCTGATGGACAGGTCCCTCTCCTATAACCTCCCTCCAAGGGATGCTTCCGCTGACTTCCCAAGGGAGACATGCGCCTTGTTTGCCTACCTTGGTTGGCATTTAAATGACAAGCTACAGTATTCGGATTGGAAGTTGTGCAATTTATAATGTGCTATTTTTGTTGCCGAGTGTTTTAATCTTGATTTCTTTTCTTCCTGGAAAGATGCTATCAGAGAAAACACAAGGCCAGAGGTCAAAGCGTCAGAGACAAGCCTGAGTGCAAAAGGGATACTTTTTGGCAGAATCATTCTGCTTTTGCAGCAATCCCAGGGTATCGTCATGGCCTTGTGTTCGCTCCCCTCATGCCTGCTACCAGGGCATAATAACCTAGTCAAGACAGGTTGCAGTTTTCATGCCAGTTACTTAGTTCAGACAAATGGCAGCTCTCACGTAGTCTTTACCTCCATCTGCCAACTCACATGAAAAATCTGAACTGCCTTGTCTTCACAAAGATGTCACACCTAGCTGGCAATCGAACCTCGGCTGACACAAGGTAAGGACACTCCTCTTCCCTACTGAAGACATTGGGACCTTTTCAACTGTGTTTTCTATTCCTACGCTGTGTAATATTAGTTGCCGACAAAATGCACGTACCGTTCGTTGCAAAGTTTCTACCTCCAGCTCTTAACCAGTATTTCAGAGTCAATCGTATGAAGTTATAACCACCACCCAGGATACAACTGTGCAGGAGGCAACATCTTTTCTCCAAGAATTGAGGGCTTTACAAACACCATGCAAGGCAGCAGGGTTTGACTGCACCCACGAACGACTGGTGCCTCCCGAGACGGGGGGGGGGGGGGGACAATTTGGGGGCGGCAGGGTGGGGGGGGGGGG